TGTAACAGATCTGTTTGCGAAAGGGATACGACCCTTGCCTCCGTTATCATGTCCTAATTTCAATCTGAAGTACCGTTTCCGACGGGCACACATGGTAAATCTGAATTACTCCTCTGGCAAAGCTGAGAGGACAGTGGTAAAACAACAATGTTTAATAACATGACCATGTGACATCATTGCTCTACTGAATGTATTAGCATTCGATAAAAGATTGTCTCATGCGTTAGTTCTGTATAATTCAAATTTCATTGAAATGCAGTTCTTCTTCCAGTGAATAGACGATTGGCATGGCGAGTGTACTTTGTGATCATTTCGGATGCCCTCAAGTCTCGGGAGAAGTTGTTCCTCAAGTTATTCCTTCTTTAGACAAAGTCAATCCCAAGAAAGATCTGTTAGCCTCCAATATCGCTGCTTCATTGCCAATACAGGGTGGTCAGGAATAATTGACTTGGAATAGTTCGTCCTTCTAGGTAATCTCTTATGTGGATCGTTGTTCATCGTTCACGACATGTACTTGAGGACAAAGTTATGGAAAACTTCATTACACTATGTAAATTTAAACTTGTATGCATACCTATAAATGCAATGTTTAGGTAATCACTCGAACATGGCTGAAAACCATGTTTAATAGGCTTGTGAAAAGCAGATGAGTGAAAATAAAATTGGCACACAATTCTAAGTACTTACTCCAACCTGCCATCAGCGTTTGTTTCGTCAAATAATCAAAATAGCTTTGACCATCGTTCACAACGGGCAGAGAGAAGCTGACCATCGGATTGCGCCCGAAGAAATGATTCCACGGACAGTACATCTTGTTGATTTTTCGAATGTCCGCCTGACTGAAGTGCCTCATTGTCCCGATTATGGACGTGAATTCAGGCTGCTTCGCTTCCATCGTGACACGACCGTTTTTGCTGAATGCCAGGCTATCGTAATGCAATATCGACAGATAGTCGTAGTCCTCTCCATAGCTGTGACTTTCTTCCAAACTCACAGTTCCGAATTGATCGAAGGCATCTGAATCAAAACGAAGGGAATTATTTCCATATATTAAGGCATTCTTTCACTGATCGTTCCCAAGTGGCTGACATAGTAATCATAGTTTTAGCAG